TTCTAGCTGATTTGTATATATTTGAAGAATTTAATTGTCCATATAGTTGCACTGTTTCACCATTGAAGATGGGTGGAGTTCGTCCGAAACGTCAGGTTCAATTAGACCTAAGAAATGGATCTAAGTGCTATGTTTGGTTTATTGTCTACCCACTGATGATCCTCGTTGCAATGATAGTTTTTCGATACTTATATATATATATATATATATATATATATATATATATATATATATATATATATATATATAGGGAATTAATTCTCTATTGTAAAAAAAAGCTGTATATAACAATGCTCACAAAAAAGAAAGAAGGGGATGAACAATTATGTGTTAATCTGAAACGTGATGTCTAGTCTGGCCATTCATATGTTTGCAAGACTCTCAATGCAGAGCAGATAATTCGAAAGCCCTCGCGTTTCATTTGGGAAAACTGCTCTGTTGAATTTTACTCCTATTACTTTTTCGAACAATTACCTCTAGATCTCAAAACGATCGCAAAAAGGTAAAAGACATGATGTATGGGTAATGACATATTGCTCTTTCCTTGTATAGAATGGCTCAAGGATTTATATTTTTTTTGTGTCTAGTATCACCAAGTTAAAGTACCTGATCCCTCATTTGTCTATAAGGAAGCAATGAGAATATTCTTATTAAGCCTATTACGACCTCTATGAAACGAAATATAATATGCATCACAGAATGGTATTTTCTAGAATACCGACAGTATTAGTCTACGCTGCTGGGCGGTATTTCATGAATCCTTTGGAAAAACGAGAGGTTGATCAGTAGTGGTCAAAGGCGCATCAGTAACCTATCATCATATAAAATCGGTGGTCCGGCAAAGTGGATAAACCGGCACTTTGACCAAGAGTGCCTTAAGATCGGCGGTGTAGATGTGTACATGAGTATAAATGTATATAGATGTATACATGAGTATAAATGTATATAGATGAGTATAAATGTATATAGATGAGTATAAATGTATATAGATGTATACATGAGTATAAATGTATATAGTTGAGTATAAATGTATATAGATGTATACATGAGTAAAAATGTATATAGATGAGTATAAATGTATATAGATGTATGGACAACCATAAAAAATACAAACACGAGGCAGACAACTTACCATGCGCCCGCCAGTCGGTAACCGGGTTAACAGCGGCAACACACTTGAGCAGATCAGGTGCCAGTGCCGCAGCGTCGAGTGCCAGAGACGCCCCTGGCCCCCACCCCCACACGGCCACGTTCTGCGGGTCCAGGAAGTCAAACTGCTCCATCATTTTCCTGGAATGGTGAAGGCAGGGGAGCGCGGTTAGAATTCTGCGCGGGAGGCTGTGTACGTGATGTGGAATTTCCTTTTTCTCTCTCTTTTTTATAATTGTTATTAATGTTTTGTTATTGCTGTCATAATCATCATCATATCATTATCACCACAATCATCATCTTGAGCATCCTTTCTTTCTTTCTTTAGGGCGCGGGACTGACGTACTAATGAATCAGCGACATTTAAAATTCCAGAAAAGTCATATGATCGTTGGCTATTGATTGATAGACTTTTTAGCAGTTTAGTTTCTGTTACTACTACTACTATTACTATTACTACTATCATTACTACAACAAATACTACTGTTACTACTATTACTATAACTACTACTATTAGTATAACAACTACTACTATTACATCTGTTACTACTGCTTCTACTGCTACTGCTGCTACTATTACTACTACTCCTACCAATACTACTATTACTGATTAATGATGACAAAGGACAGGGAATACTAATAAAAGTAGCTGAACAGACATCAGTAATGCTAGGTACATATACGGAAAATAATAACAACAACAATCATATTAATAACACCAATAATATAATGTTAGTCATCACAAAAAAAACACAATAATAACAACATAACAATACTGACTGAATGACCCTAGCCTGGTACTGTGCCAGGGTATGCGTAGATGCCCGTGTGGAAGGATCGGCACCCCAGAGCTGGACGCTGGCATGTGCCACTTGGTGCCCCGACGCCAGGTACTCCTTCCACCCCAAGTGCCAGGGTCCTTCGTCTACGTTTTGCTCTCCTGGGCCCTTCCTGGAGGCGGAGGGTGTGGAGGGGGGGGAGTGGAGGGGTAGAGAGGGCGAGAGAGAAAGATATTACGTCATGGGCGAGGAAAAAGGGAAATTTGTATTTCTCATTTTTAGTTTTTGTATTTTAGTTTATGGTGCGTGGAAAAGAGGAAAAGTAAAATGACTATTAGATGAGCTTAATACAATTAAAATGAGGTAGAGAAGCCCGCACTCAAGTAAGAACAGAAAAAAGGCCTAATATATTCATAAACAGAGGAGGGACAAGATAAGAGAAACGAAAAGAAAAGAAAAGAAAAGAAAAGGAGAGAGAGGGAGAGCGAGCGAGCGAGCGAGCGAGCGAGAGAGAGAGAGAGAGAGAGAGAGAGAGAGAGAGAGAGAGATAGAGAGAGAGAGAGAGAGAGAGA